AAAAAAAAAACAAAAGTGAGTAGCCTATGTGTTCTTCCAGACTATCCTCCACATCTATACCAAATTTCATTAAAATCCGTTCAGCCGTTTAGGATACAAACTCTAACAAACATCCATTCATTCATCTATCCAGTCATCCATCTAAACTTTCGCATTTATAACATTAAGTAAGCGGTAATTTTAAAAAAAATAAAAAAAAAGATTATAAATTCTGCCAATTTAGAGGCGAACACCATTGACGTATCGCACAACTGCGACTGTCTATTGTTACGGCCCATTCAACTGTTTAGTTGCACAACTAAAAATCGAGTAGTGTGCAATATAAGCTCATAGTAATCTGAACAAACAGTTGTGCGATAGTTTAGTCAAGTGAGCTCTTGCATTATAAAATCTGTCCTTGTATACCTATTTTCAAACACATGTAAACCAAATCTTAATGCACACAGAGGAACTCAAATCCGTTGCTGCTTTGACATATTATACAATTTAGCCGACAATGTTTCACAACGATATTGAAGTTCTGCGTCACACATGTTTCTATACAAATTGAATCCTGATTCCAAACTACAGACGAGATATTCCACAGAATTGGACTTACACTACTAGTGTCTTGAATATATTGAATCTGGTATAGATTTGGGACGGGTTTCCCTCAAAAAGTATTACATACATGTATAAGTATATTATGTATTTTGACAGTGCTAGAGCCCACTTTAACATCTACGCATTGTAGAGCCGGCTCGCCCGGTGAAATACCACGACCACACAGAAGACAGGCGTGAAGCGGAAGCAATCTGCGTTTCGTCTGATGAGTGTGATGCCGGAGGCCTAATTTTAGTCCTTTTTCCTTTCTACCCTTTTATAAGAGGAAACGATAGGAAGGAAAAGTGGATTTGACGGTGAAGGAGACGCATAGGAAGAGGAAAAGTCCTTTTTATGTGCGTCTCCTCCTCCGTCAAATAAGGGTAAGCAACGCATCTGCAATTGCGGATGTTTATGGGCAGCGGTCGCTTTCCATTTCGGTGGATTCAGGTGGCCGCTTGCTCCTTTGCCACCTTATATTTAAAAAAAAATACACGAATAAAAATTTAACCACGAACATATGAGTACCTACTTTTCAACAATACCAAGGAAACAACATTTGGATTTCGATCATCTAAAGCCACAGACGATCATTACTGACAGTTTTAACTGAACAGTTCGACTATTCAGTTATCTGTTTGAAACTGTCCGAACTGAACTTAGTGTTCAAAATGAAATGCAGGTAAATTCAAACATTTAGTCTAAGAATTCGAATTCTTAAAATACTATGTTAACGTTTGTATTGGTTACAATAACATCTAAGAATACTTCAACGATTCTTCAGATATTAAAGTACCGATATTTTCGTGGTTTAACTATAAGGTCATATAGACACGTCAAGGGGCGAAACACGACCCTTGGTAAGACGACCGCGGGCCGCGATTTCCGGCCTTAATGGACCATTGTGTCGGAAGAGTGACGTCATTTGAACTGAACAATATTGGTATAGGGAAAGAACAATCATATCTTAAAGTATTCGAACATGTAGTTATTATTTTGAGCATTATTGCCATTAATCCAACATAATTAGAGTCAATAGCCTAATGGTTTGGGGCACGGTCTACCGATCTCGAGGTCGAGGGTTCTAATCCCGGCATTCGACTATTGTTGTGAACCATATCCTAGCACAAGCCTACAGCTTAGTTGAAATGGTTAAAGGAAATATTAGTAAATTAAGCAAAATCTACTAATATTTTTATAAAAACAAATTAACCACTCTAAAATTACATACATAGGTACAGTCGTGGAAACTGTCGGTGTCCCACCTTAAAAGCTACATTCGTTTGAATTAAAAACGAAACGCGAAATAAAAATCAATAGAACGCAGCTTATAAATGTGTCTGTACTTAAATAAGTCAGTTATACACGATTACTTTCTTTTTATTATTACCCCTTCGTTTGCACNNGTAATTTTTGTTGAACACCGCGGTGCCTAGTCTACGGTGAAGAGAAACATCGTGATGCCTGCACATATCGGCGAAGAAATTCAAAGATATTATTGTTATTTCTTTATATTATAAGGTGGCAAACGAGCAAGCGTCCACCTGAATCCACTGAAATGGAAAGCGACCGCTGCCCATAAACATCTGCATTCGCAGATAGGTTGCCTGCCCTTAATTGACGGAGGAGGAGACGCACATAAAGATGACATTTCCCCTTCCTATGCAAGATATGTGTGAAGTCAACACGCACTCGGCGAGCGTGGTTGACTATGGCCCAATCACCTTACTTAAGGTAGGATCGGGTCCCCTCAGTGTGGACGTATAGTGAGCTGGTGATGATATATGTGTAGACATAATAATGTACAGTGTAACATAATTATAGGATTGACGAATTTACGTTCCCACATGTTTAAAACGAAAATACGCTCAACTGTTATAATATTGATATTATCAACCAAACATTTACAGTAACAGCTCTTATAAGACGCCAGATGTTGCCAAACTAAACATCGCTAAAATAATATTAATTTAATAATTCGTTTGAAGAACATAAGATTTAATTTAAATGTCTAGAATATGCATGCACATATTAACGTATGGTTTATATTGCAACACCAGGGGAACTACAGATGCGTTGCCGACCTTTGAGGAAATAATAGGCTTGCTTCTTGAAGGATCCTAAGTCGTATTGGTTTGGAAATACCGCCGAGCACAGACCGTTCCATAACGCGGCTTTGCGGGACAGAAAGTTCCGTGAAAACGGCACGGTAGTGGAATGACAGTCTTCGAGATGGTGAGGATGGTACCTGGCGGTCTGTCGTGTCGTCCGATGACGAAACTCGACGGCAGGAATCGTTCCAAACAACTCCTCGGAACACTCCCCGTGGTAAATGCGGTAAAAAATGCAGAGGGAACTCAAGTCCCTCCGCAAGGCCAGAGGATCTAGCCGATCGGTAATAGCTCGGTCGTTGACGATTCAAGACTCTCTGCATTGTATACGGTCAAATGGAAGAAGCTGGTATTGGGGTGCTCCCACCCAGAGGTGCGAGTAGTACTTCATGTGGGGCCTAAACTAATAAATAGTTACTAATTATTCTAGCAAACATGATTCAAAGATTGGTTCAAATTGAGTCGAAAATTGCATATAAGGATATACACTTACTAAGGTGTTCGTAAACGTATCCGCGACAACCGATCCAGGTGGGAATAACCCTGATCGAATTGTAAATTCCATTCCGGAACATTCCCCGTCACATTATCCGCGCCGCCCCAACGGAACCAATGTGCCGCGCAAACAACCGCTAAAGTACACCACTCTATTCCGAATCGTTTATTTACAATAAATGTTCCAAATTGTAACATATACTCGAGGATACCGGGTTCTTGAAAACCGAGCACGATTTCTTAGTTGTTCACATTTTTATTACCACTTTCATTTCTCAAAAAATTATTGCTATCTCTCTTACTCACTTTGGAAAGAAAAGAGATATGACTAGTGTATTATTTTTAATAAATATATCTTATACGTATACCTTGATCAGAAATAAATTCTCGCAGTAATGAGAAAAATATGGAACTATTTTGTCCACATTAGAAAATGATATAATAAAAAGTCTATTAAAGCGCGTTGCTAGAATTATTATCTTCTTGGTCAAACCATCATAGATTTAATCAAACGATTTATAGATGTTCAAATCACAACCTTTACCTCTGTGCTGATCTTTCACTGACAAGAGTTTCCTAACAGATCAAATTCAGACCAAACTATTGAAACAGCAGCTCATAAAATCAACTAGCTATAAAAACTACCCGCATCAGATAGAAATGTCATAAAACACACCGCTCTTATTCCAATCTGTCATAAAATATCGCCGAATTACAAGTTCCCTGCGGTGACGCAACGTTACATATTGTAATATACACTCACGCTGTGACGAACATTGATTCAATTTGAGATGTAGTTCGATAACAAAATAAAATCTATAAATATTACTAAGGCCATGTTCCACTAAATTGTAAATTGTCTGATAGCAATCCAACGTGTAAAATATGTGATGTTGTCATTTTTAAGCTATCTGAGTCTCTATCAGCCAGTATACGCAGTAAGTTCAAGATAATAGTCATAACTCACCTGTCCATGGTTGACGTAGCCGTGTCGTTTCGCAATATCATGAACGTGCCTTTCCCCATTGGGCACGTGCACCGCAAACTGATTGTGGTATGTAGCTTCGTGCGCGCCGAGCACGCCGAGCACGAGCAGGAGGTGCGCCAGCGCGCGCCATGCCGCCCACATCTCACCTGCGCACCTCACAACCGCATCAGCTGATTGTTAACGTGTTTCAAATGCGCACTGACATCATGCGTTCCTATAACTTGTTGAAACTTGTATCATTGAGGTACCTGCAACAATAACAAAAAAATAATACAATAAAAATTTTAATTTTACCAACCTGTACTAATATTAAATATAAAGATGAAACATTTGTATTTTTGTATATATTGGAATAATTCAAAAACTACTAAGCCGATTTCAAATATTCTTTCACCATTAGAATGTTACGTTATCGCTGAAAAACATAGGCTAAATATCACGCGATTAACAGTTTGTCTATACTAATATTATAAAAAGGAAAGATTTGTATTTTTGTATGTATTCGATTCACGTCAAATCTACTGGGCAGATTTTAAAAATTCTATCACCGTTAGAAAGGTAATTTATCCGTGAGAAATACGGTATACTTTTAATTATTTCACGCAGACGAAATCGCGAACTACAGCTATATAACCTAATAACTAATAATTAGTATTAATAATGATGCTGAAACAAATCTCAAAAGCTTTATTTGTTAGCGCCGCTTACAACAACTTACACATTAACATTTTAATAAAATGTAGACTTTAAGCATGGTCTTATAATTTAAAAAACTGTACATAATTATATGTCGTTTCAGTAGCCGGCCGCATAGCACTAAAATTAGCTGAGCTTGATTGATCAATATTTTCTTTTTTTAAATAAAAGGCAAAAAGTAGTTCCACACTCCAGCATTCTATGTTCTATTTATCCTGTTACTGTGTAATTGTTCCAATAGGTTTGCAATATAATACAGATGAAAACAAACAAAATCTGACACAGATTATATAGAGCTTTTAATAAAAAAGCGTATAAAAAAGATAAAAATAAATTTTTCCTCAAAAGCTTTGTGAACAAAACCCTAGCAGATTCAAATATCACTAAACAGAAACGAATGGTTGAAAAAAAATGGCCAACTGTGCCTCTATTTGTTGAACATATGTATGGAAACGGAATTTGAACTATTGTTTGTTTTGAACAAATGTTTTTTGTTTGAGATAATATTTGAAGCAGGCTTTTCATATAACATTTCGGGACGCATAGAGAAATTACGTCATCGTATTGGTACACGTATTTCATTTTGCTATATTATCACAGAAAGTTAATAAAAAGAAAAAACATCCATAGATAAATAAGATCTGTGGAAAATAGAAATTCAGTAATAGCTCCATAGACAGTTGTAAGCCAACATTTTATGATTTTAAGAAACTGTCCCGCCACTTACTGATAAAGGCTCAGATAGCTTAATAATGACGTCACTGTCAGATAAGGAAACAAAAACCGATATTTTCATAGCATATTTTACACGTTCAATTGTTATCAGACAATTTACAATTTGGTGGGACAGGCCCTAAGTTATTAAAATTATACGACATACTAATTACTGAATAAAGATGTTAGAAAAAAGAAATTTAGATTATGGTTGACTATCGTGTATTCATGTATAATGCACCTTAAATAATTAACCGTATTAATATTTAAAGATGTCTTGCAAATTTGTTGTTTCAAACTTACACTATTTTACGTATCACCCGTCTATTTTTTGTTGCAAAATAAAGTTCTTACACTTTTGCTGATCTAAACTGCTACAAAAATGTTTAAATAACCAGTGGGTTGTATTGAAAATTTACCTTGGAATTTGATCTACACATGACCACAATTATAAACTACCCACTTTAAGTTCAGTGAATTATTTTATTTCTACACAAAGGTAACATTTTAAGAAACATGAAAGCACACTGAATGGGCCGCATATGCGGGGACTTGTAAATTTCATTTGCAGACGAAATGCTTTATTCGCAGCAATGTAACAATATTTCGCGTTATGCGACGTGACGTGACACATTACTATAAGAAGGAATAGAGCACTGCTCAGATGGTACACGTAATAAATATTATTTCAATAAATGTACGTAGACATACTTCGTATTGTTACGTCCTATGTCAATTCTAAAGATTGTTAACTCTATATTCTGTAATTTGGTAATTGGTATCACAAAAAATGCCTCTCCTTAAGCTTTCAAAACAACATCAGTACAGTTTCATCTGAACAATTCGACTGTGTGTAAAAATTTTAATTCCGAAATAACAGAATAAAGCGTGTATATAGGGCTGTAGGCTATAGTAGGAGGTATATTATTATTCCAAACCATATATTTTAATAATAGACCATTCCAAAATCAAACAAAGAAACATTTCTTCTCTGAATACATTTTTTTAAACAATTTGATATTACGATCGGTCATAACTAAATCATTTCTCATATAAAGTATCGCCCGTGGCCGTCGCAGAGATTGCCGGGTGATAAAAACGCAAAATATTTACGACACAGTAACCCCACCGACCACATATTTATTCCGGGACATTAGAATTTTTGCCTCCGGTCACAAAATTCAATTGAAAATTCATAGGGGCTAAAAAGGTTTTATTAGCCATCCCTTTCAAATAAGCTTAGCTTATATTTTATACATCCATCAAAAGTTATGCCTGCGTATATAATCTGTTTATAAAATATTTCCACTACTTTTTAATCTAACATCCTTCATATTTACTTAGTTATTCTACTTAACTGCTATAATACAAGATGTCCATTAAATACATTAACATGTAATAAAAACGTAAGTAGAGTAAAAGGTTGGCAAAGCTTTTTCTAATGATAATAAATAAAAAAATAATAAAACACTATTAATTAACCAAAAAAAATTAAAAGAACACAACTTACAAATAATATTACTGAAAAAAAAATTAAAGACAAAAAAAATTTTGGCCAAAAGGAGAAGGCTCAGCTGATGCGGCCTCCAGCTTGTCACTGAAGGCCGCGATGGTTTTCAGCCTTCCCTAATGAAGTTACATAAATATATACACATAAATACACATGTGCACAAAACATAATAAACGTACATATAACATAAATATATACAAACTAACGTAATATACATACTTTATTATAAATTGAAATACTATTTGCTTTCAGAAACTTCAGACACGAACAGCTAGTATTTTATTAAAGAGATTCTTAATAAATCCTCTAAAAGCTTTTAATTATTGTATATTATTAAATTCACGATACCGTAGTGTTAAGAATCTCACTCCACCTCTACGTCTTTTAGATAAATACCTTGAATCATTTTCATTCCACAAAATGCATTGCAATACTTCGCAAAGAAAGCTCAAGGAAACCAACATGAAAGCGAAAATGAAACTTATGCTTGAGTGCTAAGTCTTAAGTTTCCATGAAAGGGGTTCACTTGAAAGGAGTGGAAGCTCTTTTATAATAACTCGCGATACAAAATTAAATTGCCAGCGAAATGCAAGTAAAAATACAGTTATCGCTGATTCAAGGCAGCTCGGGTTGAGAATAACTCGAATTACCGTCTGCACTTCTTACAGTTTGAGGTGCGAAATACTAATGAGGGCCGCCACCGAGCGCTGAGGTACTCGATAATAATCCTTATCAAGATAGACTAAAGGTTAAAAATACCTTATCATGATATGCACTAGATTTCTAGTATAAGGCACCGCATTATCATACACCGAGAGGCGTGCTCTAGCACTTTTAACACGAAATTCTACATTCAATTTTAAATTGCTACATAAACTAAAATAAAGGAGAAAATACCCTACATATAAATACATCCTTATAAAATTATCCCCTTTTTAGCAATCTCCAATATTATTTACTGTATTTACTTACTAACCTTACTAATATTATAAATGCGAAGTTTAGATGGATGGATTGATGTTTGTTAGAGTTTGTAGCCGAAATCGCTGAACAGATTTCGATGAAATTTGGCGAAGATGTAGATGATAGGCTAGAAGAACACATGGACTACGTACTACTGTTTTTTTAGTTCCACTCGGACGAAGTCGCGGGCGAAAGCAAGTTTAAAAACACAGTAAAATGAAAATAAAAATACACAAATCTTAATATCGAAACTGGCACATTTTTGTCGATGTTAAAATTTCTCTTCGCAATGAATTTCATTTGAAAATTCATGACATCAAAAAGGGTTTTATTTTCAAACCCTTTTAAAAAAGGTCTAATTTACCCATACACTAAGCGCTCCAGAAATTAAATAATTTTGTAAATATTCTTTTCATTCGACGACAGCAACAGCTATTTTTGAGTAAATTATGATTCAATTTTTTCCTTTTGATTTCGTTATATTTTCTTCAAAGAACCTATTACGGTATGTACAATTATAAAACCAGTAAAAGGATAGATAAATTTAATAACACTCTAAATTAATTAGGCCTTATCATAACTATTTTTCGTATATTTACTTCAAAATATTGTAGTCACTTTACAAAAAACAAAGGACAAGCATTACATACATTACAAGAACAACAACCCAAGTAGATTATCGAATATGTATGTAATGGCAGCGAAACAAATAAAAGCCGAAGTTTTACAGACCATAAACACATTTACAGATGGCTCAGAAAAACAAACTACTAAACAAAATGGTACAAGTTATAAAAATCGTTGCTAAATCTCACGATAATCCCGATAACGCGGCCATACGAGACCTGACCGCGAATACATAACCTAAATTTATGAAATACTCTGTACAAATTTATCAAAGAAAATGAAATATTTCTTATGAATTTTTCTTATCCACAAACAAGTGGTTACTATGATAAGTAACATTTTAAACGTTACAGCGCATTTTTTATAAAAAGCCATTTACTTACGCATTCTTACATTATAAGTAAACCTTTGAGAAAAATAAATTTCTAAGCACCAAAAAAATAATCACATACAAGCATCTGAATTATTCGTGCCCACGTTTATCAAACTTAAAATTTACATCAAAAAAATACTTTACAAGTTATTTCTTACTTTATTTAAACATTATTTTTCATTCTGCTCGACTCTTTAATGTCACAGTATGATATTAAATAGCCTAAAACCTTTGTTTGTACTAAGAAATTCTGAAGTGATTTTTTAAATTTATTTAGTAGTTATTGAGAGAAGCGGTTACAAACTTTAGTTTATTTACATTACTGTAGGTACGGTGTACTAAACATCGCGTCTCTAAGAGTGAAA